TGAGGCTTGGCTCCAGAAGCTCGGCGAGGTCGCTGTCTCGTCCGATGCCTTCGTAAGTAATTCCCTTCTATGTTCGCGTGGCAAATGCTAATTGTTTACTCTAGTTCCCCTTCATCGACAACGTCTTCCGTGCCGCCCGCTCAGGCGTCAAGTACATCGCCGCCCCTACTGGCAGCCAGAACGACACCCCTGTCTTCGAGACTGCCGAGAAGCTGGGCATCACCTTCGTTGAGCAGGGCATTCGTCTCTTCCACCACTAGATTGTTCTACTGGTTGTCGTCTTTCGATGTCTTTTTACTCTATTCCCCTTTCCCTTTTTCCTCTCGTAAAAAAAAAGATGCCATCTCGGTGGTTCCCACTGGTGGATATTCGTATGATGATGATGTCAGGTTTTCCTTTATGATTTAGATAAATTTATACACATATTTCAGTACACATGCTACATACACAGTACATATGTAGTTTGTTACATTAAGCCTTTACCTCAACAACGAGAAGGCGAATCAGGTAAGAGATGCCCCTTTTATTTTTCCTCCGAAGACATTGGACCCTAATATGTCGCAATTAGGTTGCCTAGAACAGAAGCTTGTTTTTCTTCTCACAATCGATCCTGAAAGTCTGAACAACTTTAGCATATTCTCCTATTGGATGCCCTCGTTCAGCCTAAATTGAATCGTTGCAACATCGAATGGTTTCTCCGTCGGAGCTCCGCTGAAGCTCGGGGATGACCATCAAACTAGCACGCGTTTCTTGAGATAAGACAAAAAAGCAAAAACACCAAGCACCTGGGCAAAAATCAAGCAATAACCAAGCAATAACCAAGCAGAAACCAAGCAAATATACAGCATTGGCACAATGAACAGAAATTACGATTGTCTTCACTATTGGGCTATTCCAAAGATCTCGATGTTGACTCAACATCCCCAGCCGCCCTAACCGGGATGTTGATGTCTAGTGTCGAACATTTAATCGCGCTTTCTTTGTCTCAAAGATACTGCGGACTATATCCAATCGGGTCTGCCAAATTTGATTAGTTCTTTTTCGTCATCGCAGATGGGGAAATTAGTGTTGCAATCATACCATTGTGATTAGCTGCCCCCGCGTGTATATCAAGGGGGAAATCCCCCTATCCCTGCAAGATGGCCAGGTACCATCACATCTCTATTGTTTCCCAAGATGCTCGTACGTCAGGTTTGTGTCGCTCTGGCAATCGCCGCCCTTTCCGGAGCTGTCCCAGCGCCGGTGAAGCATGTCTTGCATGAAAAGCGAAGTGGGCATGTGGATTGGGTGAAAGGCGAGCGTATTAAGCGCGATTCCGTACTTCCTGTGCGCATCGGTCTTACTCAGAATAACTTGGAGAAGGGTGATGAGTATCTGATGGCTGTGTAAGTCGTTTTCTTATGCATATGTGTGGCTTCATGGCATGCGCGGTTACTAATACTTGCATAGTTCTGACCCTAGCTCTCCCAAGTATGGACAGTATTGGACCTCAGAGGAAGTTCATGATTTATTCGCTCCTTCAAAGGATGCGGTTGACTCTGTTCGTCGCTGGCTTGAATCTTCTGGGATTCATGGATCTCGGATTGTACACACCGATAATAAGGGATGGTTGGCTTTTGATGCCTATGCGCATGAAGTAGAGGCTTTGTTCAAGACTGAGTTCTATGAGCATGAGCATGCCAGCACTTCCAGCCTTAAGATTGGTTGCGAGGAGTAAGTCTTTTTGTTGCTTTTAATTGCTTTGGGCTCTTTTAACATTGTTAGGTATCATGTCCCTGAGCACATCCAGGCGCACATTGACTATATTACTCCTGGTGTCAAGCTGAGTCCCATTGTCAAGAAGAAGCTCAGTTCCATCGGCAAGAGGGGCACCATGGATAAGCGAGCGTCGCACTTGGCTCATTCGAAGGCCATAGATGACTCTACCACATCTGCGGTTATTTCCGAGAAGGCGAAGTCACTTCCTGCGGATCTCCAGAAATGCGGAACTCAGATGACTCCGGCCTGCATCAAGGCCTTGTACCACATCCCAGCCGCCAAGAAGGCAGCCGAGGGTAACTCGCTTGGTCTCTACGAGCAGGGTGACTACTTCGCGAAGTCAGATATTGATCTCTACTACAAAGCCTATGCTCCTTGGATCCCCCAGGGCACTTATCCCATTCCTGCCTTGATTGATGGAGCCAACTTCTCGGTGCCTGATTACAGCCCGCTGAATACTGGTGAATCGGATATTGACATTGACATGGCGTAAGTACAAAACCCCCACCCCCACAACTTGATTTCCTGTCTTTTTGCTAACAACGCCAGTTATGCGCTTATCTACCCCCAGTCCGTGACTCTTTACCAGGTTGATGACCAGATCTATGAACCGAAGGAGGTTGCGACCACCAACCTGTTTAACACTTTCCTTGACGCTCTCGATGGTGTATGTTATAATCTCCCGGAAATAAAATGTATCTTGCTAACAAATCCAGTCTTACTGCACATATAGTGCCTTTGGTGAGACAGGCGACAACCCTGATATCGATCCAGTCTACCCCAACCCGAGCGCCGGTGGTTACAAAGGTAACATACGATTTCCAATTTCCACCAGCTAGACTGATCTAATCGCTCACACAATAACAGGCCAGCTTCAGTGTGGTGTATACAAGCCCACAAACGTGATCAGCGCCTCCTACGGCCAAGCCGAAGCCGATCTCCCCGTAGCCTACACCAAGCGCCAATGCAACGAATTCCTAAAGCTCGGCCTGCAGGGCCACTCCATCCTTTTCGCCTCCGGTGACTACGGTGTGGCCTCGTTCCACGGCGACGGATCCGCCAACGGATGCCTAGGACCCGAGGGAAAGATCTTCAACCCACAATACCCCTCTAACTGCCCCTACGTGACCTCTGTCGGCGGCACCATGCTCTACGCCGACCAGACAGTCAAGGACAATGAGAGCGTGATGCACGCTGACTTGGGTGGTACTGCCGCCAACTTCTCCAGCGCCGGTGGCTTCTCCAACTACTTCCCTCAACCTGAGTACCAGAAGAAAGCCGTGGAGAAGTACTTCAAGGACGCTAAGCTGACTTACCCGTACTACTCTGAGCTGGAAGTCAACCTGAATACGACAAAGGGTCTCTACAACCGTATTGGTCGTGCTTATCCTGATGTGTCGGCTAATGGCGCCGTGTTCCCTGCTTACACTAATGGAAAATTGGCGCACTACTATGGTTCTAGCTTGGCGTCGCCGTTGTTTGCTTCGGTTCTGAACCTGGTAAGTTGGGAGTTTGGAATTTTGCTTGTTGGCTGTGCTAATGACCGTGGTGGTAGATTAACGAGGAACGTATTCACAAGGGCAAGGGACCTGTTGGTTTCGTGAACCCCGTGCTTTACGCTCACCCGCATGTTCTCAATGACATCACCAACGGCACCAATGTTGGATGTGATTCGGAGGGCTTCAGTGCTATTCCAGGGTACGTACACAATCTTTTACATTGGCGATGAGCTTTTACTGACCTACCATGCAGATGGGACCCCGCTACCGGATTGGGCACACCTAACTATCCTGAGTTGAAGAAGCTGTTCTTATCTCTTCCTTGAGATGAATAAGAGCAGAGCTTGTGTGATAGACATGTATACCAAGTGGTATTAAGGGTCACCTTGCTGAATATCAAGTATCAGGTTACTCCGGATTGCTGGTGTATTGGGATTTCTCTATGATTCTTATGACCAGTCTGTCCTTTTGTGATTTATTTTCGGTTATTCATGTCTATATATGTCTATGCCTATGTCTATATGTCCGAATTCAATGTGAGATGGTTTTATATGGCACGTGGACCGCCAAGTAGTGAGATGCTGGAGCAGATTATCTATATGGCAGTGGGTTATTTGGGAGTAGAGTGAGGAGGGCTGAAGGACGAGGGAACCTTCTGGAAACCTTCTGATGATTTCAATTACCTAGTTAGACGGAGAGGTAGGGTGGGAAGGAACGACCTGAGGTTGAATTGAAGTGGAACGAGATAGTCACTATGGAAACTGCATACCCAACAGCCGTACTGATGGGGACTAACTTGGCCGAAGTTTCCCAAGAAGGTCAAAGTCTCTTCATTAATTTACTGTTATTACCGAGGTACTATTTAAATAAAGAATTCTAGACCGGCAGGTGCGCAGGTTACAGCTGTGCGGTAGGCTACCGTCAGGGATATCATACTTCATTTAAGATTTAGGACAAAGAAAGCAATCAGAATACTTTTACCCCAACGAGCTAATTTTCTATGTCCACCAGACTATATCCAGTGGCGTAGTACGGAGTATTAGAACCAACGAAGGCTGGAATCCTATCTGCGTTTTAGTCCACTGGGATTTTCAACAAAATATGTGTGCGTCGCATTTGTTCACTAAATATAGATATGTCACCATATGCGTGATTTCAGAACATTTAGAAGAGCCTTTTCAATAACAAGATCCATCATGAATCGTATAGTCTGTAGGTGTCATTGTGTGTTTGTGCTAAAGTACCCCAGATATCAAACTATCATCCTAGTCCACGGTAGCTCGAGCCAGTCGCCATTTTCGATTGATCTAGTTCCTCTGACTTGTTTCTCATTTTTATCTTATATATTAGTTTGATTTAATTGACTATCTAGGTGTTAGTTATGCTTGGCTTCGTTTTTTATTGTTGAAACTCAAAGGGTGGCCGCCTTCGAACAATACGCCAAGGTGGTCCGTGCGCGGGGATGTGTATAGCTTCAAATATCTATAAGCAGAGGATATAAAAGCCTCGTTTTTGTCCGCGAAAGTAGTCGATAGGCTATCGGTCTCATATAACAACTTTAAGCAGGCCCCAACAACTTAATTTTCATTGTAAATGCCCTTCGGGCGGTAGCATAGAAATGGCAATAAAGTTTGCTGAAGCTCCTGCTCAGGAGCTCGATCGGAGAAAGGCTACCTTGGAAGTAAACAACACTTTGAACAGTCCCAAGCACACACACCCGCGTAAATCAGATTCTGAGGCATCATGGCCCTGTATCCGATTGAAGAACTTCCTGTGAGTATGATCCTTCGGACTTGAAGCTCAGAAGAGTTATTAACAACAGTATACACATAGCTCAGCGATGCTCCCCCGATCGCGGACCCACCCCGGGTTCCCCACCAGCCGATTTTTACCAGTTGTTCCTGGCTGTCTATCACCGTGGCGAGCTCTCTCTTGACGATTACCGAAAGCGCCTCGGCTTTTCTGCCTATCACTGGGCCATCCTCGTCTATGATGTGAAGTACAATCGCCACTACGCCTACGATGTGACTGACGGAGCCTCGCCGGACCCGGTGATTCGACGTGATCTCAACCCGGACTTCCAATGGACCTACCGTGTCAAGACCAACGTCCACCCGGAGTCGTGTGACTCTCTTCTCATCAGAATGGCAATCGGCGAAGTCAACGACGGAATCGGCCCGGACACTATCAAGATCCTCCTTCAGTCTGTTCAGCTACCAATTAAGGATGCTCATCCTCCTCAGAACTGCGTCAACTGGATCAGGTCTGTTCTGCACAAGCTCCGGTTCCATGGATATGCCCGTAACTTGCATAGCATTGAGATGACTATTGATCGTGCTCTCGCTTATGCCGATCTTCGCATGTCGGATCCTGACAATTCTGTCACTGTTATCGACCACCTCGGCAATGAATTGGTTTACAGGCCATACCCAGCATGAAGTGTGATACTTTGAAGGGACGTATTTTACTGCTGAATCTTGAAAGGTTATGTTTTGCTGGAGTCTCTGGTGACTGGTGTTAGCAGGGCGTCTTGAGTGTCACTTGATCATCAACTGTTTGTTAATCTGAACGTGGCTCACTGAGAATGAATCAATTGTCTGTCTTTGAAGCTATTGGTCTGTAGAGATTTTTGTATTCATGTTGACGGTGCTAGATGATGCGACAGGGTTAGATAGATATTGGTGACACTATCACACGGCTTAGTTTCTACCACATATCAATGGGCAAGTGAGTCTCCACGGTAACAAAGGGGTCAGGGATTAATCAAAGCGCGGGTCTTGCCCTGGGCATTTGCTTTTCAGTTTTGATTTCAATCCTACAGATGCTTTGTTCTTTGTTCTGAAGAACTGCACACATGAGCACTGCATGTTGATAATGATCAGAGCTACGATCTAAAAGATATTTACTGGATACTGCCAACTATGAGGTACAGGCGGTCTCTATCATTTTTGTATAGCCGGTAGATGCCTACTTCAAATGGTGGTATATATTAGAGGTATTAAGAGAAGACCCAACTTTTAAACCAATGTATTTCTTTACTGCAACAGAGGTCAGAATCGTATTTTATACATTCAAATCCAACACACTTAATGTGGCGAATGATATTCTCCAGTCCGTTGGTTGACAAGAAACTCCCGCCATCCAAGGTTCTTGTTGGCTGTCTAGCGAGACTTGAACTAGGTCTGGGTACCACACGTAGAACATAATCATCACAAGCACCATTAGAACGCTATCAAAAATCTACATGGTCCACCCGCTAAAAGCCTCCTTGCTTCCAAAACCCAGGTCTGTGCAACATCCATAACGTCTGTGCTTGTAGAATCAAAGCAAAACCTCAAAATCGTCTCAATGTTGCATGCCTTTTCAATTAGAATTACTTCTAGTAGTGGACCACCGTCAAATAAATACTGGTTCATGAACTATTTAGAGTTCTACAGAGCAAAGTGCTCATACTGAGAGATATGTATGGCTCAATACTTGAGAGAAGCACACGACTACGGGAAGGATCAAGCAAACAACACGTTTGGAAGGCAATTTATGTCGTTTTCTATAATGAGTAGATGCTTTATTATCTTCCCAAATACCGACAAAATTTCTCCTGATGAGCCATTGCGCCTATTTGTAGTGAATCGCGTCGTCGGTGCTGCCACGTGGTGAGTATAGAGGCTGATCCTAATCGCGAAATAATCTCTGGGTTTCATAGTCCCGACAGCTACTCCCAGTCAAATTTGAATGGACTGGAAATTGGGAAAATAAGTTTGTCATAAACCATCAACCGAGAAATCAACTACTGGATTGGACTCTATAGAGAACTCTCAACCCAACCTTGGAAGGGTTCGTCGATTACTATATCAGTTGTGACGCAGGCAGCATCCTTTAGAGGCAAGTGCTTTCGAGGAAAATGTCAACGATCCAAGATGAGGATCTGTGAAATCGACGCCGGAAATTAAGGTTTTCGAGACCAGGAACAGGGCTACCTCTCCACCTGGCCCATAAATTCGCGTATGTCGAGCCGCTTAACCGCCCTATACCTTCACTATTACTTACTATGTATGATCATCTGACAGAAATATGCAGTGCGACAATATAACCTTATTGGTGATATATTAGCAGCAGACAGCTCAATTTGAATAGATCTTAACAAATCTCTGTGGGCACATGCAACTCGGAAAAAAAAGCCTCAGTAATCATGAGTCACGAGGAGCAACGGAGCATCAAAGTGGGTAATCGTGAATCTACATGGACGATTTCATCCGACCAGCCCCGTAGGCATGTGCCGCATAGCCACCAACCCACAACTAAACTCGATCTGGCGGAGGTCGACGATCAGTTCCGAGCACCGGCAACCAAGTCCCGAGATCGAGTCACGTTTCGGGTGTTTTTCTTTTTCTTCTTTTTTCACGTGTCGATCACCCGTGAGTGATAGCGATAGCGCCGACAAGTTTGGGAAATGCATAGTTACCAAAGCCCATAGCATAAAGTGTGCACAGTGCACGATCCACACGGACACGGAGCTCGGAAGCGGATTTGGTTAACGCCGAGGACCGGAGGAAGGATTCTTCAGGAGCTTGCGAGCTACTTACCTAAGTAGGTATGAAGCAGGGATTCCAATATGGTTAGATGTGGTTAGATGTGATAGCTTGTGTTTATGCTGGTTAAGGTGGTGTAAAATAATTTGCATAAGCTATGCATTGATCATTATCAGCCTCAAGATATACCACGTCGCCTATTTTAGACGAATGATTAGCAAATAATTGATTATCTTCTGCTCCGTATTCTCGCCTTTCTCCATCTCAACTCATCATGCAGCAGCACGGAGTACAAGTATGTTTTCGCTCACATCATCTCGCCCTGATAAGGCAATTGGAAACCTTGAAATCCACTTCTAGGCACTCAAAGACCCATCTCTCGGCCAACGGCAGCACATAACAAATGGCCGATGCAAAAGTCCTTGATGTCATATCTCTGTCAAAAATAGTGGATCTCGGGAAATTTAACAGGGAAAATCCGAAAATCCGATACCGATTATTGGGCGTTCACTAAAGTGGTTGACACCCAGCCATGGCGCCGTTGCCCGATGATTACTGAATCATTATCTCCACCTCTCCACAACATAGACCCTGAATCCAATTGTTCTGGACTGTGTCTGGATCTACCTGTTGACCTCATCGTTTCCGAATTGGGCAATCATCGTATTATATCAGTATTGCTAATATTGATGAAGATAGAAGAAAGATTACATGATCGAACATCTTGAGAGAAGCCTAAAGCCTAAATAATCATGAAAAGAAAAGAGACAAAAAAACCGAGACATCTTCGTATTCGGGTATTCCATAGGGCTATGAAGTGGAGATTGAGTGTTTCGAAACGGTAAGCCATGCGAGCGAACCACCTGCCCAGGTGCGCAGGTGGGCATTTTTAAGTGCTTAGGTCATCTCAAAGCCGCAACAATGGACTGTGGACCATCGGCGATATCCGCATGGGCCTTACCTAATACGCCAAGATACCTAACTAGGTAGCCCTGGAAAAGTCCAAGGCTGACATATGAAAAAACAGGACCTTACCTTGGCAAGTTTGAGGTCCGTGATGTACGCCAAACACGCTATCATGGTCAAGTATGCAGTAAGGAATGTACATTGTACCTGTATCATGAAGCGAGAAACACGATAATCTAACCCCTCCTTGCAGGGCGCAGTGTCAGTCTGTTTTGAGCAGATTCCATGTGGGGGCCAATAAGATCCTCCAATGCCCCATTGTGTGTCACATGTGGAATGTAGAACGTACAACGTAAATTGTCCGTAGGCAACGCTGTAGAACTGCGCGATGAGCAAAATCTTTGTAGGCTATAGCGATCTCATCCAGTGATGTTTGGAATTATGCTGCCTCATGGCCTCATGAGGATCCGTGCATGCTAATAGTTAGTTACCTAGTAAGTACCTTCTTGGGCGTTCCCCACCACACAGCCTACTCATGCATGGATTCCTACTTAACCTCGAATTCCTGGGGAATGCTAGTCTGTCAGTGCTGCCAAGACTGGGTGCTGGTCGTACTCGTCTAGGGGGACAGGGTACAGGCGAGGGGTAGTGTTGCATAATCCAAAATACGCATACGGAGCAAGGTGGCTTGGCTTCCCAAGGTTCAAAGTTCCAAGAGCCTCCATGCTGACATGCCAACTCATTGTATCTCGATACGTCAACAGGTCAAAGCAATTGTCAGCTACAGTAATTGTCAGCTCTGGGGATATCATCCATGGATATACGGGGTAGCTAAGTAAGGTTATAGAAGATGATGTGATTTGGCATCCTGTGATTGGAAATCGAACTGCTATGTAATCCAAACCTGAGTTCCAAGGTTCGATAGGAACCTTAAAACAATTGTATCAGTAATCAAACTAACCTGGAAAGGAAATAATGGAATTAGGAATTAGGAATTAAGGATAAAGAAAATAAGAAAAATAAAGAAAATCAACGGCAAAAGGTGCGACCGATGCTCCGATCGGTTTTTTATCCTCCGATACGGACCACGGCACGGCGGATTGGTCATCCGAGAGCATTCAAGGTGACTCACTGCATTATCTTAAAAATTGGATTGAATTGAGTCAGTTAGAGTAAAATAGTGCGGAGTACGGAGTACATATGTACTTCTCATATTGTAACTACATACATATGTACATATGTCGTTAAGTACCTAAATACAATGTGTAACGTAGCGGTGAAGATCTGGAAATGGGAACCTTGAAAGCGAACAGTGCATTATTCATAACTCGGGGCTCGGCGTATACCCTTTCTCCATTTATTTCCGGTGGATCGCTCATCATCCGTAAAGTCCGTTTCGGGTCGATCGGATTAAAAATTCAAAATTCAAAAAAGGAAAGAAAAAAAGAAAAAGAAAAAAAAAACGCTGCCTTGTCAGATTAAATATAAACCTCTCGTCCGGAATTCCAAGATTGTTTCTGATATCTCAAGATCTACTTCTTATATCTGTTACACTATCGATCTTGTCCCCCTGGATGAAAAACCTGATCTATCATACTACTTAGGTATACTTTCATGTATAACAAAGTTGATTTACTCCCTTATCCCTTCTACCACACCGCCCCACGACGATCCACTGTGACTGGATGACGCCTAATTGAGTCACCACCAAAGAGTCATACCCAATAATCCTTCAAAAGCTCGTCTGGCCCACCATGGACTCTTCATCTATTACTTCTAATACCTCCAAACCCTCCCCCTATTTCGACTCTCTCCTCCGTCGCCGCCAACAAAAGAAAATGAGCATCACTCAAACATACTATCTCGCCCACACTGCCCGGAAGAAGCTCACTCGTGAAGCTTCCCGGGCAGACCACGACCTGCGCTTGCTCGTTGGCCACGCAAACCTCCTCGACTCGCTGATGTACGACCTCGCCGATGCTGAGCGTGAACAAGAACGCTGG